TGGGAGACTTTTTGCAATTTTTTTATTCCTACTAACAAGTTCACCATAAGTATGAACAATGAGAACATGTGGGTTATTCTCATGATGATTAAATGTATCAATCATAAGATCGTATTAACTCATATATTAAATACTTATTTAATCTTCTTCCTTCAGTTTTAAACCTAACCTACAAGATACAATGAATGAAGAAACCATATATTTACTACGAGTTATGACATAATCATAGCCTTGATATTCATATGTTTCATATTTCAATGTTGATAAATAATCAAACAAATCCTTTTTATCGTTTGTGTCTTTATTAATTTTTACAATTAACCTATCTTGTTTACCCCAATTTTTTAACATATTTTTAATAAAAGAAACTTTCGGTCCTAAAACAAAGAAATTAGGAGGTTGTTGTATCTCATCAATCAATTCTACATTCGCTTTTATAATATAACAATCTTTCCCATCATATATTTCTACGGTTTCCATTAATGTTTTAATGTCCATATATAAATACTATATATTTTGTCTTTAAATAATCTATTCAAAAGTAAAGAAAAAGATTAAATAACAAATTGTTTAATAATGTTCATCTGCGTAACTGGTCATTCCATCCTCTAAAATATATCTCTTATCATCAAAGCAGCTTAATGATACCAACCAAAACATTCATTATCAGTATTTTTCAGATTAATGAATCCTTTTTCACTATTTCTTAATTCTGATGGAAGTTGAATATAAGAACCTTTTCATAGGATTGTATAAGACAGTACACAGGTAGTGATTATCAACTGATCGAACACACCAGCCAGATCCCTCTGAAATCTATTGTGCAATGAATTCGATTTACTATATTATGCTCTGTTGATTGTAAAGAGTCAACTCTTTCTGTTTCATTCATTACTGTCTGAGGTGTGCTATTGAAATATGCAGTTTTCATCTGAACATCACCATCAAAATTATCCTCAAAAGTGATCTTTTCAAAAGTTATCTTTAATGCCTCTACGGATTTGAGACCTATCACCTCATTCAATATATTCTCAATGTATTTACCAATAGCCAATCTTGTGCTCTGCATTTGAATTGATGGATCTTTATCATTCGTTGTGTTTATTTCATATGAATTTGTATATCCTATTAAAGCTCTATCTGTTTCACCGATTGTTCTTGTTCTTGGTAGAGGAACAGGCTTCTTTGTTCTTGGTTTAGGCACTGGTTTATAATCATCTCCAACCTCTAGAGGTGGTTCAATAATGTTTTCTTCATAAGCTTGAACCATCTGTTTAACACTATTGAACGATGGATCGAATTTGATTTTCCTCGGTGTTGGTTTCCGTTGATATTTTGAAACAGGTCTTAAATTCATTATCATTTCGATGAGCTGGTCTTTTGTCAGATTCTGTAATTCCGTTTTATTTAGATCTATATTATAAGTAGATATATTTTTTTCCATATTTTCTATATGTGATTTTTCTTAAAGTGTTTTTCGATTTTGTGATTTGGTATTCTCCATACTCATATTTTATATACGTGCTTTTTCTCTAAGTGTTTTTCTTTCGGGGATTCCCCAAATTTGAAAAACCGGTTTGAATTTTGAAAAACCGGTTTGAACTGGTTTTAATTAGATCCGCCATTTTGAGTGATTGGAATTTTCGTGAGTCTCCGTTTTTGGATTTCGACTTTGTTGAAAATATTTTTCAATATAGTTTTCAAATATCTGGATTTTTTATTTTTGCGCAAAATTTTTCAAAGTTCAGATTTTTTTTATTTTTGCCCCCCAGTGTCTGAAATATTTAAGTCGTTGATCATTACCAGAAACAATATTGGGCCAAGATTTGTTCCCTGGGGAACGCCGGCAGATATTGGAAGCCAGTCAGAAATCGAGCCAGCTAACTTAACGCGTTGTCGGCGGTCAGACAGAAAGCTTATAATCCACGGTATTAAAGATGTGCGAACGCCTATACTAAGTCCAGAAGCTTTTCAATTAGTACATTATACCCGATACGATCGAAAGCTTTAGAAGATGGCATCTTTTTAGTCCACTATAGTTGCCTACGTAAATGTGACAAACGATTTCGAGGAAAGAAGCTTGCCAGGGAAATGTTTCAATTTCTTAAGGATTTAGGAATACAAGAACCTATCATGTTTTTTTATTCGTTGTTTGTACGTTCTTTTTGCCTTATTATCTTCAATCTAAACAGTTATAAATTACAACCGCGAATAATTTAAGAATTTTTCATCTGGGCAGCCTCACTAGACACTATCTTCTTTAACTAAACAGTTCTTATTCATTACGTTCTGACCATAATCTTTATCTTTTACAGCACGGTGGTCAAATTTTCAAAGGAAGCAGGACCTGCCGATGTGGCCATTTCCTCAACATTAGCGTAAAGACTTGGTTCATACTTTGACATATCCACATAATGCTGAAAAAAAGAAATTAAAAAAAAAAACAACTAATACTGCAACATTCAAAAGATGAAGGTAGGAAATCTTAAATCCTAAATCCTAAATCCTAAGACCCTACTCTATAAAATCTATAAGCCTTCTTGTTATTGGGGACAATGAACACATTGAGGCTCTTTACACACTAGTTCCTAAGGTAAGCAACTTATACTAGCAGCTACAAAACCATTCTTGAAACATTCTAGCTGCTACAAAACCATTCTTGAAACATAAGCCTTTCACAGTAAAAAATTTCTAGTCTCTCTTGGTTACTTTGGGAAAGTCATACCCGTTCTGTCGATAAGTGATGGTTTTGTCGTAGGCGACATTTTCAATTTTGGGCCACGCAACTTGGGATTATATTCTGATATGAATAATCGCTAGATTAAATGAGATGGCTTTAATAGACTAGCGAATCAGGAGAATACTTTGTTTTAGCAACCTTTGGTAATAATCACCTCTTCCTGCAAAAATGAAGTCGTTACTTCGTGAAGAAGATCGAAGGTGGGTCGGGCGTCAGGGTCTTCGTTCCAGCAATCCACCATGAGCTGGTATCTACAGATTAGAAGAATCGAAGAAAGACAACATATCAACCAAAACTTTTATTTTCAACCGTGTATTCTGGTTATCCGTTTATGACTCCTTTTTATTGGCCAGTTTCGCCATTGCCCTAGGTAGTCATTGGGGAGTCAGAGGTGTTCGTCACTTTTGATTGGTCAGGCTCGATGCGTCTGTTAATTTCTAAAGTTGTGTTAGTTACATCGCTATTTTTCCGGAGAAATTCGCTCTCTAATATAACTAAAATGACTATACATAAAAATTTATCTTTTGCCTCTTGTGGAGTTAAAATTAAAAGAGCAATAAAAGATGCAAATCACGAGTCTTACAAGACAAGTCAATTATATTCCTACTTACTGTTCCTCGCTAACATGTTCTGGTTGAGGCATACGATATTTGTTCACTTTGAGTTCATACACAACTTTCCACTCGTTCCACCCTGGATAAGGCACGCCTCCTATTAAAAGCAATGGTACACGGGCGATGTATTTGAACGGGAAACCAGGAACACTGGGTTTAGTGCACAAAATAGAGTTTTATTGATATAATACGGGTTACGCAAGAAGACTCAGAAGTATAGGTGACAGTTTCTACTTGATGTACCTGAACTAGTGTTCGTAATGCACGTCCAAATATAACGAAAGTAAATACTAAGTGGATAACAGCTACCCCTGGGAGTTATGTTTCTATGCATTAGCGCTTTTTCAACTCTAACCCGACAGTGAACTGCAGAAAATTTAACCGCAATGATGTACAAAAAACCAAGAGCTTGGAGAAACCGTCATTTAATTAATTCAGAATTGCCAAGTGACAAACGACAGAAGTTCCATGTAAAGTGTTAGTATTGCATTTACAAAAAGGAACACCTAACACTGAAAGACATAAAGCTCACCTAAAGTGAATATTTCAAACAGAACAATGCCGTATGACCACCTGTTTTACAAAGAGAAAATCAGAAAGCCTTGAAAAATTGACAGATAATTATAATTTCCGATTACCGATCAACTGATAATTGAGAGGTAACATTGTGCAAAAAGAAATGGTGCAAATCAGTTGTAAAGGCAATACCATACAGATCATGACAAGTATAAACTAGATGCTTTCCATAAAATAAATATGGAAGACTTTTTTCGTTTCAATAATACTTCCTTAGGCTGAAAAAAAAAAAAAGCACTGAGCAAGAAAACGATGTAAGGTAACAAAATGGTATTATAAGGATCTCCTTCAAGTGTATTTATGGACCTGACTTAAAAGTTAACTACGAGAACCAAACAAAAATACAATTACTACAACACTCATTTGGGAACTTGTCTAAACGAGCTAAAGGAAGAAATTCAGTTTCATTAAAAGACAACTCTTCAGTTAGTTTACTCACACGTCGCTTTTCTCTGACACTCTAAGGTTTTTTTCGTCAGAAACATTGAAAAGATGCTCAGGAGCTGTCCATTTGATAGGAAGGCGACCCTATGAATTGGGATTGATAAATAAATGAAGCAAAATGAGAAAGACACTGCATGCAAAAAACACTACAACAGTGGGTTGCACAATAAAGTATCAGCTCGAGTGGTTGTTTATATTTCTTCACGAATAGCATTTAAAGTCACCTATTCAGAAAAGTCAAAGATCTTACAAGCACAGTTACCTTTCTGATGGCAGTGCAGTAAAGGTACTGCTCATATTTATCCCTTATCAGAGCCAATCCAAAGTCGCTAATTTTACAAATCCTCTCTGCTCCCAACAGGACGTTTCTTGCCGCGAGATCACGATGAAGGATCTGAAAATTATAAAAAAATGGAAAAGAATTGCTTTGAGCGGAAATGCATAAGCAACGCAAAGCTGATATAGCGCAACTAGTCTGATAATCCAAAGTACTATCTTGTTTTAGGAAGGTGATGAGACATTTTAGAGAGATCAAGTGCGAATCGTCGGAAAAATCGAGGAAAATTTCTACGCTACTTTCAGCGAAGAATCAGTTGCTTCATTTAAGTACTTGTATGAGAATACAGCTGGTCAAGTACCTCACAGTATAGTGTAAGACATATGTGCTCGTCGCTTCCTCAATCTTTACCCCGTTTTTAATTGTTGTTGTTGTTGTTGTTGTTTTTTTGTTGTTTTTTTGTTATTATCATCTTAACGCAACATATTCTAATTCTTTCCTTGCTTTTATTGGATCTACATATGACTTTAATGCCATTTTCGAATACTTCTGAACCAGAAATTTTCTGACGTTAAAGCAAATACATACTTTCTTTGATGCCAGAAAACTCATCCCGGAAGCAATCTGTTGTGCAAAACTAAGCAGATCATATGAAGTCACTTCTTTCTGGCAACACTCTGGGGAACAATAGAACTGATCTTCCACTCCCCTGCTTTTCCGGAGGTAGCCAAGCACATCCCCGTATGGAGCATATTCCAAAACCAGCATCATGGGGGCTGTATTATATCAACGAAACCAGTTAACATGTGATTAAAAAGAATAGCTATGAAAACGAGTGAAAATTACAATGATTGAACCAACGACTGAATTAATAAATGAATAAAAAAAAGAGAAAGAAAAGAAGGAAATGCATCGATGAATAGAGGAATGAATCATAGAAATAAAAACACAAAGGAGAGTGAAAAATATTGCGTTTTTTATTTTATCTTATTCTTACAAACCTTTCTTTTCACCTGAGAGGGAGGGGGAAGGGGCTGGAAGATTTTGGTTATGTAACGATATAATTTACCTGATCACTCATAAGGACTCGGTAATATTATTATGATCCCTCTCGTTAGGAGTTAATCAGCAGTCAGTTTTCTATAGTCCCTCCTTTGTACTCTATTGGCGACAAATTATTTCCCCTCCTTTTCCCCTGAATATCCTGTGATCTCCCCAAAATTCCCCACCCCCTCCACCCAGGCCATCTCAGAGGGTCTCAATGGGGTTAAGCCTGTGGCGTGAAACGTCCAAAAAATTAACCGTGTGTCGTGAAAAGCGAAAAAATTAACCGTGTGAGGTGAATTATTTCTGTCCAGATAACCGTGTTGTTCGTAGCTTTTCCTAAGCTCTGAACAATTATTTGATGTATGTGGTGTTTTGGGTATTTTTTCTTTGGTATTTTTTTTTCTTTTTTTTTTTGCACCGTGAAATCGCAAAAATTTTAACCGTGTTCAGTGTTTGCCACACCCCCATTGAGACCCTTATCTCAGGTCTCTAAGAATAAACTAACATGATTAGTCAAATTACTTAAGAAATTTACTTCTTAGACACTCACTGCATGTGGAAACACACGCCAGAAAATTAACGATGTTAGGATGTTTGTCTCCATTCAAAGATTTTCCCAATTCAATTTCTTGTGCCAGTGATTCCTGTTCGTGGTCAGTACAGTTACCTGTTGTCGTAATGTGCAGATAAAGAAATAGATAAATGAGTAAAAAGGAAATTATCCACCGATCTATATCAAACGCTTAAAATGGACATTTACGGGCAGTAGCTGTTCTTCCACATTTTCGTTAAAAATCTGGCGGAAACTAATAGCGGAGATCTGTGTTGAAAGAAGTCACTTATGTTGGATATTAAACACTACGTAATTTTGTAAATTTAAACAGTGGACAATATATAAATTATCAATATACATGGTTTACGTCTAAATAAAGAACGAACTCGAGCCTATAATAATCTCGAATTTTCATAACTTTTAATCAAACTAAAATATTTAAAAAAAAGTTTAATTCTAAAAGTGTATAAGTCATGATATAAAACAATTTATAATTCTTGACAGTATATCGTATGCTTACACTAACACCTTGCGTACATGTAATTATCTTAGGCCTTAGTTACGTTTTAGTTTCTTGACGGCCACTGTAGTCTCTTCAGGGTGTCCTTGGATTTCGTAGACCGCAGCTTTCCAGACCTCTCCGAATGCCCCCGTCCCCAGTATGCTTTGGAGGTGAATTTGTTTCGGAGCGATTTCCCAGCGAGAGGCAGAAACGGAGAGATATAGTGTGTCTGCGTCACTAGGTAAAAGGGAGGAAGGGAATAAGGATAAGTTGTAATAACTTAAACTGCTTTAAATAGTCTTGGTTAGGCCTGTCGGTCTCGAATGTTCTCGTAAAATTCGGCAATGTTGCTCACTGAATTGCCAAATAGTTACTAAAAAATGGCCAAAACACCAAATACTTGCTCTCTAAATTTCAAAAGTTGCCTCCAGATGTTTTTTATATTTTTATATAAACGTCAATCGAAAGCTATACTTTTCGTTCTTTTTAATGATAAACTTAGCTTTAAAGAGTTGTTCGCTAAAAGAGGCGGCTTCTAACCATCCATATCTTTCCATGGAAAGTACATTGAACAAGGACAACCATTTTTGTGCGTAGTTTCAGCCGATTATCCCTTTTAATATTAGAAAATAGCCCTGCGCAAAATTCCAGACATTTAAATTGAACTTTCTGTCTCCCCATTCTTATGATTTGTTCTTTCCCTTTTATTCTATGATGCTTCTGTAAAAGAAAAACCAATAACTTAAGATAAATTATTAGATTAATTAAGGATAATTAAAAGCAAATGCTGTTCCCTATTATTGACAAACGTAAACTCGTCACCTGTTACCATGTTTGTTAACTTTACAAATTGTGACCATACCTTTGTAAAGTGAAATTTTCCAAACGATCAACGTTTCTTAGAGCTAAAAACGAAATAGGAAGTAAGTAATTTGTCATACGAGAAAACACAGAATTGGCTCAGGAATTATTTCCATTAATTAACATCTAGTTGATACTTATTCTACTGGTACTACAACTACTATATTACTGCCACCTCTTTTAGTATTAGTGTTTTTTATACCAAAATAGTTGAATAACTTGGAAGAAGTCGTGAAAGAAATTAATTTGTGTCGAGCTCAAGACATCACAAAACCAAGATGGCGGCTGCAGGAAAAATAGAGTGCCGGAGCCCGCGGTCCGCAGCGCAAAACAACAAAAGGGCGGGAAAACGAGTGGAAGTTGAACAAATCCTTCTAAAACAACAGCTACTACTACTATTGCTACTGCTGCTACTGCAGCTGCTACAACTACTTCTACTACTACGGCAACAGATTTCCTAGATCAAACTTTGCATAACAAAATGGTTTCAGCAGATAAGTTGATAATGGGAATTAGACCGAAGAAGGGCTAACACTCGAAACCATACCTGAAACTCGTCTCTTGTAGTAGACAAAGCAGCCAAGGATGCCGAGACACAGAAAACCGGATACAAAACTCAGAACGATTAATGAAACGGTATCTCCGTTCTTTTTCTCTTCACCTGCTATAATCATATGTAAAATAACACAAGTGTTAAACGAAAAGGTCGGCAGATAACAGAACGTCACAGGTGAGTAAATGTGAGCTTTGATAACTCTTTATGCACACCCGTGACTAATGGAAAAATTATGCGTCGGTCCGTCTTTCCATCTGTTCTCTCCGCCCGTCTGTCCGTTTGTACGTGTCACTATCTATGTCCACTAGTAATTACCAGATACAAAGAGATTGTTAATATTGAATGACCGCACCACTTACTGATCACATGTAGAAAGATGGAGACCTTGTCTGAACCGAATGAGGAATTTGCTTGACAAGTGTACCACCCTGCATCGTGAATAGAGACAGCCTCGATTTTAAGATAAAACTTTTTATATTCTGGTCCTGGGTCTACTTTATCAGGGGGAAAAGATTCCATACGGACACTCTGTTGATCTGTTTTTCTTATCCACTCTGCAGTCATGGGGACTGTTATCTCTAAGATCTTGCAAATTAATGATGCGTTTTGACCAACGACGAACTCAGTGTGTTGATCCTCTGAAATATACACTTCGAAATTTTCGGTCTGGTTCTTGGATGCAACCAAGCCTGATTAAAAAAGATTAACCAAAGTCACCAGAATCATGATACTCAGTATTATACGAATTCTTAGATTAACGCCCTTAAAATGGGGGGAATAACTGGTTTCATAAGTAAATACTTTCCAAAGAAACTGTTGTGCTGCGTCGGCAAGCAAACGAAACAAGCAATTGGGCATTAAATATAAGTTGATGAAAGCAAGTCAATAGCATTAACGAGTTCTGAAAAATTTCGCTCGCTTGAGGTAAACATGGTAACGGAGTCAGTGGCGGATCCAGACCTTGAGCTAAGGGGGGAGGGGGAGGGGGTAGTTTTGCGTCCGTTTGTACACTTGCCGGCTTTTCTTCCCTCTGCGTTTATTTTTTACCCAAAATAAGTGGGGCCCGGGACCCCTGGGCCGCTCCCTTACATCCGCCACTGGAAGTGATAATAAATTGATTACAAGATGGATTATGACTAATCGTCCAAAGGTTCCACATCAAACAACGTCAGGGTGATAAGCGTTACCGCTGTCGTGACGAAAAGATGTCCTTGAGAACTGATATCCTTATAATTAGGGACAGGAATTATAACCATCGAGTTCTTTATCAATATTCTACACTTTTTACAACACAGATCAGACAAAGACGCTGGGTTCTCTCGCATATTAGTTGGTCCAAAATACATGGCCAAATCTTTCAAAGCCAGAGCAAAACGTATAAATTTGGCCGTCCAGTCTGACATATGCACTGATTGACTTCACAGTTCTAGATCAAAAGGATTCTGAGCTTTGTAAGTTTCTGTGAAAGTATCTCTTGTTAGTTTGAAAAGAAAGACGAGTAAAAATTAAATAGAGGGCCTCCGGGAATTTCTTAAAATTAAAAGCGACGGTATATCAATTGAATTGGCACCAATTTCCGCAAAGCGGAAAACTAGAACACTGTTTGAGTGAAGGAAAACGAATGGAATAACTTGCCACTTCCAAAACTGTTTTCATGTCCAGTTGAAGGAGTCTTGATTGTTGTTTTAGGTAAACCACCTGCAAAGAGAAAAATGATGGGTTGCAGCAATATATAATACAACAACTGATATCATAAGCTTCCAAAGAACAGTTGCGCTGCGTTGGTGCATATGTGAAACAACTTCTTGCTTATCAGCTCTTAACTGATAAAGACAAATAAACCGCAGTGGGGGATTTGGGCGTTAGCCCCTCTTTGCAGAAAATTGGGGGATTGTGGGTTGTGTCTTTGTCATGCATACAGTGAAGAATGGAGTCATNTTTTATCTACGTGCTTGGTGAATGCACTCTTTGCACATTTTATTCAAACAATCGTTGTTATTATGACTTGAAACAATCGCATGACCCGGTCGGTGGTCTAAACTAACATTTGGATGGTTCATGTTTTATTCAATAATCACAATAGATCAAAATTAAATAAAAAAAATGCTATCAAAATGTCAAGCTTATAGCAGAATCCGGCGACGCGGAGTCCTGGCGAATGCTTGTTTTGAATCACGTAAAGGATGTTGAATAACGAAGGAAAGACAGAGGAAGAAATAACAGAGTTATATATTTTAGACTATATGTCAATTAATTGTTTCCTTGAGTTGAAAAGAAACCAGCTTTTTTTGAGAAACAAAACTGAATCCGTTGTCCAAACAATATATGTACACAAGTTTCCAATGCACAACGCCAATTTTAGTCATCTCGATTAGAGTAGATTAGATATCACCTTTTCACGACTGAAGTGGTGGCCGTTAGCGTTAAAAATTTAGGGATGGACGAGGCTAGAACATGGACCTGCAAACTCTGCAAAACTTCAACTGCTACAATACTCTAAAAACTATCCACTAATTTTTTGTTGGTGGTGTTTAATAAATCTCAATTTTTGGATAAAAAAAATATGCGTAAAGAAAAAGCGACATCAATAATAAAGATATAAGAAAGTCATTTTACCTTGGCTTGATATCTGCTGCGTCCTCCAGAGCAACAAAAATCCTAATAAAGGAATCCGTACACAAAAAGAAAAGTACCGAGGCATTTTATCTGACTTTTACCATCACACTGCTTCTCCAATATGAATGCAAATGTCACTGTACTTTCAATATATTTTCATCTCTAATAAACCTTGACGTCGCTTTAGCGTTTAAACTGAATGCAATTTAATGAATACAACAGAAACAAAACACAGAGTTCAATCACTCTGTACACAGGTAGAACCCCCCTTAGTACTTTTAATCCGTAATTTAAACGTATTTCCGCATGAAAGTCAATTACCTACAGCTTAAGACAAACTTTTTCTACATAATACAATGTCCTACGATTAAAAATTTGATTAAGTGTACTTTACGTGATGGATGCCTCATCAAACTACCTAATATAACCCTATTTGTAAAGCCAGAGCGCGACAGCCATCTGTTAGTCACAAGAAACTAATTTCATGGCTGTTGTGTGCCTAAAATGAGAATTAGATGGTTGTTTCTTTATTAAAAATTCTACAATTTCTTGGGAAAACTCTGCTTAGGTAATAACGTAATTCTCTTGCGATACAATATTACAAGGTGCTATCATGAGTGTCATTTACAGAATACACGCAGTTTTATTTGCTGCTGCACTTTCTACAATCTAACTTTTACACATAAGAACACAAGCTACTTTCTTAACTATCCCTCGGCGCAGTTCTTGAACCTAACAGTTCTACTGCGGTATTTGTAGGTCAAAATCTTGATCCTCTACAGCACAGTGGTCAAATTCTCAAAGGAAGAAGGACCTGCAGGAGTAGCCGTTTCCTCCACATTGGCGTAAAGACTTGGTTCATACTTTGACATATCCACATAGTGCTGAAAAATGAAATGAAAAAGATCTGGTAATGCAGAATTGAAAAGATGTAAGTAGGTGGTAGATAGATTAAATGAGTTGGCATGGGAAGACAAGCGAAGCAGGAATAACTTTTCGTCATGCGTTTTCTTTCACTAGGTAACATTTGGCAATCATCTTATACCTCTTCCTGCAAGTATCTGGTCGTTACTTCATGAAGAAGATCGAAAGTGGGTCGTACGTCGGGGTCTTCGTTCCAGCAATCCACCATAAGCTGGTATCTACAGATAAGAAGAAGTGAAGAAAAACAACGGAGCAAAAATATTTATTGTTGACTGTTGGATAGTTTGATGGTCTTTATGACTTTTTTACATAGAAATTAGCTGTACGACAATTAAAATGACCATACATAAATTTTCTTTATTCTCTTGTAGAGTTAGAATTAGTAAAGCAATAAAATATTAAAATCTGTACGAATCACGAGTCTTACAAAGCTAACTAGTGATTACTTACAGTTCCTCGCTAACATGTTCTGGTTGAGGCATACGATATTTGTTCACTTTGAGTTCATACACAACTTTCCATTCGTTCCACCCTGGGTAAGGCACGCCTCCTATCAAAAACAATGGTATCACATTCGATACATTTGAACGAGAAACCAGGAAACTGGGTTAATAATAATAATAATAATAATAATAATAATAATAACGGTTTATTGCAGTTTATCTACAGAGTAGCTATCATCTGCATAAAAAAGAAAAAAAGATAAATATAACTAACTAAATATAAACCAACATTATATACAAATAGATCAACTAGATAAAATTTATGTACAATAAGTATATTCTAGTACGTCTCTAATCACTACTAATGCGAATCGAAGCTTTAGTTCTTAAAGTGCGAGAGCATTCTCTCTTGAAAGTATTAAAATCTGAACAAAGTCTTAGATGTGCAGGCAGCTTATTGAAGAGATCAGCCGCTAAGTCTTGGAGTGTTCCCTTGACAAGTGAGATTTGAAGGAGGGGAGTATTACTTGATCGTAGGTGTCGCTTCGTCAAGTGTCTTGTTAGTTTAAAATTTTCAGGCCATGAGGTACTGCACGGGGCTCGGTGCACAAGCTTGAGAATGTTGAGCTCAGTATTCTCTAACGTTGGTAGCTAGCCGAGTCTCATTACTTCACTCTTTACAAAAACGGTTCAGGACAAACCCTGCAGCAGCGTTCTGCACCCGCTGAACCCTTTTCTGCAGGAACGCCGGAAGTGGGTACGTCACGCTGTCATTGAAGTTAAGCTTGGATAACGAACTTTGCGCTAACGACTTCTTGATGTCTTGTGGGGTCATATTTTTTATCTTCCCCAAAGTGGACAATACTTTGTAGCACGAAGACGTGACCTGATTCACATGGAGTGTCCATTTAAAATCTTCCGCTAACCAGGTACCTAACAACTTAAACTTATCTACTCTATCTAAAATTTGGTCCTGCAACTTAAGCGTGGGGGTAAGTGTTCCTAGCTCGTGAAAGCACGACATTTGAGGAGTGGTAGGGTTAAGTGCATAAAATCGAGGTTTATCAGTATTGATATTATCTGGGTTACACAGGACGATTCACAAGTCTCAATTTGATGCGCTCGACCCAGTTTTTTGTGATGCACGTCCAAATGTCACGAAATAAATAAAAGGTCAATAACACTTTTCACTATTTGGATTTGGACCAATTTTACAGATATTGCATTTGCTAAATGGAACGCCAAACGTTAAGGGGAAATATATCACTCACCTAAAGTAAATATTTCAAACAGAACAATGCCGTATGACCACCTGTTTTACACAGAAAAATGAGAAAATGTTTCAAACAGAATAATGCCGTACGACCACCTGCTTTACAAAGAAAAATAAGAAAACCTTGAGAAAGCTCGGCCAAAGGAGCTCAAAGAAAAAATTTCAGTTTCATTTCATTGGTTAGTTTACTCACACATCACTTTTCTCTGACACTCTAAGGTTTTTTGCGTCAGAAACATTGAAAAGATGCTCAGGAGCGGTCCATTTGATAGGAAGGCGGCCCTATGAATCGGGAATGACAATTAAATAAATTAAGCAAAATGAGAAAGACACTGCAAGCAAAAATGCACTACAACAGTGGCTTGCACAATTAAGTATCAGCTCGAGTTGTTGTTTCTATTTCTTCATGAAAATCATTTAAAGTCGCCCATTCAGAGAAGTTAAAGATCTTACAAACACAGTTACCTTTCTGATGGCAGTGCAGTAAAGATACTGCTGATATTTATCCCTTATCAGGGCCAGTCCAAAGTCGCTAATTTTGCAAATCCTGTCTGCTCCCAACAGAACGTTTCTTGCCGCGAGATCACGATGAAGGATCTGAAAATTAGGAGAGAAAAAAGGAAAACAATTGCTTTGAGCGGAAAAGCATAGGCAACACAAAGCTGATATAGCGCTTCTCTACTAAGTGTTGATAAACCATAGTAGCTACAACTGTTTAGCCATAAAAGGAAGAATGCAATCAGTGTGAGAATCCAAAGTACTATCTTGCCTTAGGACGTCGATGAGACATTTTAAATTAAGAGACCAAGCGCGAATCGCTGGAAAAATCAAGGGAAATTTCTACGCTACTTCCGGCGAAGAATCAATTGCTTCATTCAAGTGCTTGTATAAGAATACAGCTAATCAAGTGCCTCACAGTATAGTGTAAGACATATGTGTTCACCGCCTCCACAATCTTTATCCTGCTTTCATTTGTTGTTGTTGTTGTTTTTTTTTGTTTGTTAAAAACTGTAACATATTCTGACTTTCCTCTCCTTTACTAGATCTAATAATAACTTTAATTCCATTTCTGAATACATTTGAACCAGACATTTTCTGACGCTCAAGCAAATGCATACTTTCTTTGATGCCAGAAAACTCATCCCAGAAGCAATCTGTTGTGCAAAACTAAGCAGATCATATGAAGTCACTTCCTTCTGGCAACACTCTGGGGAAAAATAAAACTGATCTTCCACTCCCCTGCTTTTCCGGAGGTAGCCAAGCACATCCCCGTATGGAGCATATTCCAAAACCAACATCATGGGGGCTGTAATATATCAACGATACTAGTTAATGTGCGATTAAAAATAATAGCTATGGAAAGAAGGAATGCAAATTACAATTATTGAACGAACGATCAAATCACTGAATGAATCGATAAATAAGTGAAAGAATAAAAAAGAAAATATATCGATGAATAGAGGGATGAATCCTAGAAATAAAAACGCAAAGAAGAGTGAAATATATCGCGTTTTTGGTTTTATCTTATGCTTCCAAACCTTTCTTTTCACCTGAGAGGGAGGGGGAAGGGGCTGGAAGATTTTGGTTATGTAACGATATCATTTACCTGATCACTCATAAGGACTCTGTAATATTATTATGATCCCTCTCGTTAGGAGTTAATCAGCAGTCAGTTTTCTATAGTCCCTCCTTTGTACTCTATTGGCGAAAAATGATCTCCCCTCCTTTTCCCCTGAATATCCTGTGATTTCCCCGAAAATTCCCCACCCCCTCCACCCGGGCCATCTCAGTTCTCTAAGAATAAACTGATATGATTCGACAAATTACTTAAGAAATTTACTTCTTAGACACTCACTGCATGTGGAAACACACGCCAGAAAATTAACGATGTTGGGATGTTTGTCTCCATTCAAAGATTTTCCCAATTCAATTTCTTGTGCCAATGATTCCTGTTCGTGGTCAGTACAGTTACCTGTTATCGTAATGTGCAGACAAAGAAATAGATAAATGAGTAAAAAGGAATTATCCACCGATCTATATCAAACGCTTAGAATGGACATTCACGGACAGTAGCTGTTCTTCCACATTTTCGTTAAAAATCTAGCGGAACCTAATAGCGGAGATCTGTGTTGAAAGAAGTCACTTACGTTGGATGTGAAATACTAGATAATTTAATTTGCAAATTTAATGCAAGCATATGATATATTGTCAAGAAATTGTTTTATATCATGACTTAAACACTTTTAGAACTAAATCTTTTTAAATATCTTAGTTTGATAAAAAGTTATGAAAAGTCGAGATTCTTATAGCCTCGAGTTCGTTCTTTAACTAGACGTAAACCATGTATATTAATAATTTATACATTTTCCACTGTTTAACACCTTGCCTACATGTAATTAGCTTAGGCCTCAGTTACGTTTTAGTTTCTTGACGGCCACTGTAGTCTCTTCAGGGTGTCCTTGGATTTCGTAGACCACAGCTTTCCAGACCTCTCCAAATGCCCCCGTCCCCAGTATGCTTTGGAGGTGAATTTGTTTCGGAGAGATTTCCCAGCGAGAGGCAGTAACGGAGAGATATCGTGTGTCTGTGTCACTAGGTAAAAAGGAATAACTGGATAAGTTCTAATAGCTTAAGTTGCTTTCACCGGTCGGGAATAAGGATCAGTTCTAATAATTAAAATTGCTTTCACTAGTCTTGGTTAGGCCTGTCTCGATTGTTCTCGTAAAATGCGGGAAAGTTGCTCACTGGATTGCCAAATATATACTAAAATATTTCAATATTAAACTTAGCTTTTAAGAGTTGCTCGCTAATAGAGACGGCTTCTAACTATCCATATCTTGCCATGGAAAGCTCATTGAACAAAGACAGCCATTTTTGTGCGTAGTTTCAGCCGATTATCCCTTTTAATATTAGAAAATAGGCCTGCGTAACATTGCAGACATTTAAATTGAATTTTCTGTCTCCCCATTCTAATGATTTGTTCTTTCCCTTTTATTTGACAAAGCTTCTGTAAAAAGAAAAAACAATAATTTAAGATGAATTATTAGATTAATAAATGATAATTAAAAGCAAATGCTGTTCCCTATTGCTGACAAACGTAAACTCGTCACCTGTTACCATGTTTGGTAACTTTACAAATTGTGACCATACCTTTGTAAAGTGAAATTTTCCTGACGTTCAACGTTTCGTAGAGCTAAAAACGAAAAACGAAGTAAGTTAACTTTGATCAAACAATTTTAAGAGGGAAATATTTTATGTCATACGAGAAAACGCAGAATTGGCTCAGGAAGTATTTCCATTAACTTCAAGTTCATACTTATTCTACTAGTACTTGGCTTCTACTAGGCTTGTTAGCTCAATTGGTAGAGCGCTGCACGAGTATCGCAGAGGTCAGTGGTTCGAATCCCGTACAGGTCTGAAATTTTTTTCAGGTCTGATTTTCACTATTGCTCAAATAGTGCTTTACTGCGAAGGATCGTGCATATATACGTTTCATAACCGCAGTTCATACATATGTTTCATATGTTTGTTGTTGTCTACTAGTACTACAACTACTATATTACTGCCACTTCTTTTACTGAGATGCAATGAATATATGAAGTGCATATAT